GATCTGTCACTGCTAACAAAGAAGCAAATTTTATTGGCATTCTTGCGGGCACCCCATTTGGTGGCTGTCAGGTGCAACAGTATAAATTAGTGTGAATTGCCCATACCTTAGAATAAATGCTAAATATTCTGAATATATCCATGCGTACACATATGTATTCACCCCTTCTCCTCCATGCTGAGCTGCCAGACTATTTCTGATGTTACTCACCTTCTGGAGCCAGTGGGCAGTTTTTCCGAAGAGAAATTTAAAACAGGTAGCATCATAATTTAAATCCCTTCTAAATCATTTCCCTCACCCCTGTTTTTGTTACAAAAAGACTTGTGTGGTAGATTCCAAGGGAAGTTTCTTAGAAAGAACTTGGCAATACATAGGGCCTAAAGGCATAAGAAGTGGCATTAAAAAAAACTGCCTGAAAATGCATTTCATGGCAAATTAGGAAGGGCAGAATACAGAGAACTGCCAGGTGCTTTACCACTGTTAGGAAGTTTGCCAACATGCTGAGAAGCTTTACAAGGTTCTCAGATATCACAATGACAGGCCTGATACAAGAACAAGATAGAAAACAAAATCTGTTCTGTGCAGCTGCAGTACCTCAATGCACCTTCCACTGTGCATCACACATGCCAAAAGTGCTGCTGGAGAACTTTCCCTAAAGCTCCCCAGGCACTTGCACACTTGCCATGCTTGAAAATGTTTATAGTCCAGCATTAACAGTTAAAACTTAACACCTTGAATTCCAACAGGAAACCTACTAGCAGCCAGTACAGACCGTGCAGCAATTGTGTTATACTGTCTCTCAGTTTTGCAAGGGGTACTGAAGGGCTGCTGCAAGCATGCCAACCAGCCATCAAGTGCTGGAGAACTACCTCAGCTCTGGATGAGGATGTGGGCCCCACTTCTGCAAGCCTCACTGTACTTGGAAGTGGTCACAGCTGTGTATCTGTAAGTAGAGTCCTTGTTCTTAATAGCACCTTAATTGTGTATTTGCATACTTTCAGAAGCTTGAGTTTCTTTCAGACTGAAGTTTGAAATTCCTGACTTTGGAATAGCTGCTTCTGGATAAGTCCAAGGGCCCTGTAAGGATTTTAAGTGCTTGGCATTCTCAGGTATATTTGCAACTGTGGCATTGTTTCTTCTTGTTGTGTGAACAATTCTGCATGGGCCAGTTTGTACATGCAATGATTCTATTTGGGTGCCAATCACCTAGAACACCTGTGCAAATCTACATTAAGGTATGTGTGGCTCTATACTGACCCACCTCAGCTGGCCCTGCTGTTATTCTATGTGTCAGGTGCTGCACCTGGATACTAGTGTGTGTACTTGCGTGCATGGCCAGGAGCAACCTATACCTGGGGAATACCTGACTAGAGTGAATGTCAGCAAGTGGATTCTATTGTATTACCTGCAGGTACATTTAGAAACTGGTTCACCTCCTTGGGCTCAGCTTTGATCACAGGTGGTGGAGTAATTTCTATAGGAGCCTATGAAAAAAACAAAAATATACAGTTCCCTCAGC